TCTTTTGTCAGACTAATTGTTTGAAGATGTGAAAAGGAGTCTAGAAACGTGTGACATACTATGCAATTAAAAGCAGTGAAAGCTTTAAAGACGGGATGATTGGATTATAGGATAGGAATTTATTAGCCTGGGTGTGTTGCTGAACATATAAAATATACTTACAAGTTACAACTGTGCCCACTGTCTTCTCTCACTGCTTTGCTGTCTTCATTTCCTTCTGCATCTTCAAGTCAAATGGTTTGTTGAGCTGTCATCACATGTTTCTCCCAGACTGGACAGCTTCAGCACACACCTAAAAACAATATAAAAGGATGAGTTTTTATAAACTGTAAGACATAAAGGAGAGTGCTAGAGTCAAACAGATCTTCAAAAGAAATCATTATCTCACCTGTGGATGTTGTTGTTGTCATCTTGCTCTTGTGTCTCTAAATCACCCGATCTAGTCCAGACATTAGTCTTCAATACTGCATCAGTCAGCAGCCACCTAACTATACAAACATTTTAAGTTACACACTTGTCTCAAATAAAGTAAATAGTAGGTTGAATGCAAAATTCAGATTTTTCTCACCTGCGAGTCATCGTCGGTCTTCAAATCACCTGGTCTGGTCCAGTCTTCTCTTGTCAGGTTTACGAAGAATTCACCACTACTGCATCAGTCAGCAGCCACCTATACGGACATTAGAAGTTACACACTCGTCTCAAATAACATCAAAGAGCTGTATATAAAATGCAGAATTGACATTTTTCTTACCTGATATTCCTCTTGGGTCTTCAAATAATCTGGTCTGATCCAATCTGTCTTGTCAGGTACAGGCAGTAGTCCCCACCACGAGCACTGCATCAGTCAGCAGTCACCTACAGTACATGTAACTGCAATGTGTACAGACATTAAAAATTACACACTTGTCTCAAATAATACCAAGTAACTTGGTAGTTAAAATGCAGAATTGGAATTTTTCTCACCTGATATTCCTCTTGGGTCTTTAAATCATCTGGTCCAATCTTCTCTTGTCAGGTTCAGACAGTAGTCTTCACTCCTATATAAGTCAGCAGCCACCTAACTATGCAGACATTAAACGTTACACACTTGTTTCAAATAATACCAAGTAAATGGTGGGTAAAATGAAGAATTGGAACCTGATATTCCTCTTAAGTCTTCAAATCATCTGATGTGATCCAATCTGTCTTGTCAGGTTCAGACAGTATAAGTCCTCACTACCTCATCAGCCATCACATTAGAAGTTACACACTTGTCTCAACTCAAATTAACTGCAGGTGAAATGCAGAATTCAGATTTTTCTCAACTGATATTCCTCTTCGGTCTTTAAATCATTGGTCCAATGTGTCTTGTCAGGTTCAGACAGAAGTTCTCACTACTGCATCAACCATCATCTAACCATACATACATTGTAGGTTGAACACTTCTCGAAAATTAAAAACTAGCAAAGCACACACACACAGACACTCCTTAAATCCATATATAATATCTTTACTTTAAAACAAACACATACCTCGACGAAAACTGTACATAATCTGTATTTGTATAGCTGTATTTGTATAATCTGTATAGCCGGTATAACCACCTTTCGGCGTGACACACCAGCTTCGCAGGCACGCGGCGCGGCGGCAGCTCCACTCTGCAATAGTTCTAGGAAAGAATGAATTCTTGAACACCTCAATCCTTGCTTGGAACTCTGGTACTTGAAGGCATGGCTATTTCTTGTTCTCTTCTGGGCTGGTATTAGGTTCTTAGCTATTCGGACGTCCACCAGTTTATTAGTCATTTTGTACATCATTCATAGTCTGGACATTTTTCTTTTGTCTTCCAGTGACACCCACTGTAAGTTATATGCTTTATGTGGAATACGAGAACACTCGGCGCAAAATGTTTTGAAAACAGGAATTGCTACCTTCAAGCATACTCAACTGTAGTGTTTGCGCCAGAAATACGCGGGCTTGGTCATTACTATTTACTGAATTGCTCTAAAATGGAAACGGACAAGCTTTTAAATTATACATAATACATTGCAAATGATAATGAAGAACGAAAGTATGGTCACCTCAACATACTAGTAACTAGTTTTCAACCGTTTTGTATCGTATCCATTTCGGCGTCCTGAAGCTTTGATGCCCCAATCTTGTTTACGCAATTTTTGGCGGGAAAAATAACTAATTATGTACACGGCCACATTCCAACATGTGTTTTGAACCACGTGGAGATAAAGAAAAAGGTTTGGTCGATACACAATTTCTTTCAACAAATATAACCTCAAAACGCTGACCATCTGACTAAAAAGACATGCACATACATTTTATATATACTCTCCAAGCGCACCACACATTGAAAATGTTGTTGAAAACGCGGTAACTTGATAAGAATTTTTTTAAGCCTGTATAAAATTAGGAACGGTCGCTCCCTAATACAGAAATAGATAATTTCTTCCGGAATATAACTTGACATGTTCGTACTAGTTGCTAAGGAATAATGTCAGCCAAACAATGTACTGGTTTACCTGCAACAATGAGCGAAGTCGTCTCTATACCACGCTACTCTTCCTGTCTCGCCATTTTTGTCTTCTCCAAAATTCGCTAGGTCATGAAATTCGCACTTTCTCTTCAAAACATCACCAGAACGGTACAAATCCTCGGCGAACACTCCCAGACATTCTGCTGCACACTTATAAGACATTCTAGTTTCTACCAACGAAAACGTCTAAAAGTACCCAGTTTAAATCTATCTAATGACAATGCCCCTACTGTACTTAGTGACAGCGAATTCCACTCTGCGATAGTTCTAGGAAAGAATGAATTCTTAAACAGTTACACCTCGATCCTTGGTTGATAACTCTGGTACTTGAAGGCATGGCTATTTCTTGTTCTCTTCTTTGCTGGTATTAGGTACTTAGTAATTGGGACGTCCACTAGTTCATTAGTCATTTTGTACATCATGCATAGTCTGGACATTTTTTTCTGTCTTCCAGTGACACCCACTGTAAGTTAGTGGAATATGCTTTATGTGGAATACGAAAACACTCGGCGCAAAATGTTTTGAAAACAGGAATTGCTACCTTCAAGCATACTCAATTGTAGTGTTTGCGCCAAAAATACCTGGGCTTGGTCATTACTATTTACTGAATTGCTCTAAAATGGAAACGGACAAGCTTTTAAATTATACATAATACATTGCAAATGATAATGAAGAACGAAAGTATGGTCACCTCGACATAACTAGTTTTCAACCGTTTTGTACCGTATTCATTTCGGCGCCCTGAAGCTTTGAGGCCCCCATCTTGTTTACGCAATTTTTGGCGGGAAAATAACTAATTATGTACACGGCCACATTCCAACATGTGTTTTGAACCACGTGGAGATAAAGAAAAAGGTTTGGTCGATACACAATTTCTTTCAACAAATATAACCTCAAAACGCTGAACAACTGACTACAAAGACATGCACATACATTTTATATATACTCTCCAAGCGCACCACACATTGAAAATGTTGTTGAAAACGCGGTAACTTGATAAACTTTTTCTAAGCCTGTGTAAAATTAGGAACGGTCGCTCCCTAATACAGAAATAGATAATTTCTTCCGGAATATAACTTGACATGTTCGCACTAGTTGCTAAGGAATAATGTCAGCCAAACAATGTACTGGTTTACCTGCAACAATGAGCGAAGTCGTCTCTATACCACGCTACTATTCCCAACTGTCTCGCCATTTTTGTCTTCTCCAAAATTCGCCAGGTCAGGAAATCCGCACTTTCTCTTCAAAACATCACCAGAACGGTACAAATCCTGGGCGAACACTCCCAAACATTCTGCTGCACACTTACTAAGACATTCTACCGACGAAAACGTCTAAAAAGTACCCAGCAAGTTTGAAAAAATCAGCCCAGAGTATTTCCGTCGTACAAAAGCGCCATTTTGAAAGGACCATACCAAACTTGTTTTTACACAGGTGTGCAGAACGGCCGTGCATAATTAATGTAAAGTTGGTAATCTAATTATGACGACCAATGACGGCCCGTTTCGGTGACAGGCACTTATATGTGTCGAAGAAGGATGATTATATTTAAGGTTTAATGACCCGCCCCGAGGTGAATATGGTGTGACCCTAACCTCGTTCGCTGCGCTCACTGGGTGGCTTTATTCGGTGGTTATAGCAACTGACAAGGCTTTATCATACCATATTCACCGAGAAAGGGCGGGCCATTTTAGACAATCATACAAATGTACGCAAGAAGAGAAGACAAAGGGTAATACACCAGGCATATATAATTTTCATTCTTTCATTCATTTTAACTACTGCCTTAAATTTGGCAAACATGAACAATAAGATAGCAAAAAAATGATAATATCAATACTAAAATGAAGCCTGCTCTCTTACATATATGTATATACATGATGCTCACATGATGCCCAAATGTCAGTCAAATACAAATGAGTCACCTTATGGAATGAACTACCACCAGCCCTAAAGATGTCTACCTTGTCTTTTCTGTCATCATCTGATAACCCAACCTAGCCCCTGTAGTAGTTTCACATTGTGTTCTTTTTTATTTTAACTTATACCAATTATTATTATCATTTTTGCACTGTATTTTATTATATCCTACATTACCTTACTTCATTGTCATTAATTTATACCGTATATTACTTGATTATCCTTATTGTTTTATTTCCATATTCTATTGTATTATTTCCATTCATTGATTATATTCAATTTTGTATAGTTTAAGGTGACCACCTGGCCAAAGTGACCACCTGGCCAACGCGACCGCGACCGCCCTGAGTTAGGTCCGCTCAAGGCCCGATACCTGCCCATGGTGACCACATCATTTTCGATCATATTGATTATTAATGATAACTAATGAGAAATCATGGAGAAGTCAGCCAGTTTGCATCGACGGATGGACGATGTTTTTCTTCGACGTAAATTGTCGACGTAAGTGACATGTGTCACCCTCCCCACATGCATTCACCACAAAACTTACAGCATTTGACATTAAAACATCTCGACTTGGAAACCATTTAAGTCTCATTCATGCTGTGATGCGACCCTCTTCATGGAGACCACCTGTCCAAGGCGACCACTTTTCTTTGGTCCCCTGGGTGGCCGGCTTAGACAGGTTTGACTGTACTTCTAAATCAAAACATCGATGTCAGCCTTGCCGGGAGTTTCTTTCCTTAACTTCTTTTGACCCTCAGAAGACAGGGAGACTTTAGAGCGCGTACGAGGCGTTCCGAAGAGCTCCGGACACGCCCGAACACCCTTCGTGATCTCGTCGGCAACCTTCGTGAGGTCGTAGGTGATTTCCTCGGAAACGACGGAGTCAGATTTGTATTTCGGATGATTCTGGACGAAGGAGCGAATCCAACGAGCTGTCGTCATCAGTTCACCTAAAAATACAAAAAAGTACATTAAAGAGATTTAAAAGTTTATTTTGTAAGTTTGTGTCTAACGGATAATTGCAAGCACGTGGGCTTGGGAAGAATGCTGGCATTGCGCTAGTCTGAACCAGGCTTCGGGAGGCGTTTGGAAAGAGTAGAAATGGTAAAATACTGAAATAGAGAGATAACATGTCATACGTCAAGGGAGTTGGTCTGCTAAAAAGTAGTTTGCAAACTTTAGTCTCTAGCGGACCAACGTCTACTGTTGGCAGCCTCTTCTGAAGCCTGGTAGAGGCTAGTCATGATGCACGCAAATGTTCAAATTCTTGGGAACACACACACACAGACACACACGTGTGTGTGTGAGTGTCTGTGTGTGTGCGTGCGCGCGCGCGCGTGTGTGTGTGTGTGTGTACCCAATGTTGTCCATACCTGATGCCCTTTTCTGGATGAGCCTGAGATACTGCTGTACAGAACACCTGGTGTCCACATCGATGTCGACTGTCTCCAGGTAGGAGTTCATCAGAGACACAAGACCCTGGAAACCGCCCGCCTGCACAGAGGGAGTCAAAAAAATATACATGACCGTTTAGCTGTCAAAACCATGATCATATTTACTCAAGTGCATTTCTGAAGTAGTTAAGCACCAAGGACAGGCCCACATCATGATACAGCAAGACCCTGGTAACCGCCCGACATGAGGGGAGACAACATTTACATGACTGTGTAGCTGTCAAAACCATTATTCCATTAATTGCAGTGTACATGTATTTCTGAAGTAGTTCAGCTCCAAGGCCAGGCCTACACCAGAACCTGGAATTCGGAAGGGTTACATCTTATACTTAGTGTGTACTAGTCATATACCTGGAACTACTAATATTAAGCTGATGAATTAAAACGCCAAGAACAGTTTACAAATCAAGAATTACTATGTAAGGGGCCATAAAGAAGAAGGGATCTCATCACACAAGGATATAAATGTATGTCCATACATGTCACTACAACCTCCGCAGGGGAAGTCGGCACCAGTCAATGAGAAGTAAAAGCAAAAGACATTCAATGTCCTTCATACCACGAGCTTTGAGACTCTACTACAGTAACGACACTCAGTTGTAACGACTCTATGCCACGAATATTTACATGAGCTGTTTAGGCTACGGTTGTAAAGGGTCTTCTCACGATTGTATCGACTGCCACTTAACGTACTGAGACTCCCCCAGATATTTAGTTGACTAAGCTTATATAACTACATGTTGTTTAACTACTGCTCTTGATGTGATTTTAAATTTGTTGTATAATGATTTTAGAATTGTACTTGTTTTAAAAATTCAGTCAAAGTCTATTATTCCATTGACTGTAAATAAGCATGCAATTCAGCCGTCAGGCTGCAATATGCTTTTCTAAATAAACCAATATGATATGTCTGACCTTGCCATTGATAATCTCGTTGATTGTCATCTTGGTGTACTCCTTATCATCTTCCTTCCACCCACCGTTACACTGGCTGTCGGACCCTGAAAAGTAAAAATATATTTGTTAAAAAATAAAGTACAGACATAAAATGGTTTATCTACTTCAGTGTAAACAAGTTTACACACATTTGCAGCATCAACCCTGAATTGGTAGTACATCACTGTGTATTGTCAGGCGACAGTCCGACTAAAAAGCAAAGTCAGAATCACATGCACACATTATTACATTATTATATGCACGCGTGTACTCTTATACTAATATGCTGAACCTGTATCTGTAGATCATTTTACCTGCTGCAAGTCCAGACTTATATGGAGGCAGAACCTCCTTCCTGAACCAGAACAGCCCCTGTCTGACAGCGTCTCGCTTCTGAGCCTCCTGCATGTTCTCATCAACCTGGTGGGGCATAAACAACATTTCTACATTTAAAGTATTTGAAATATGTCAAAAAAGGAAAAAATAAAACATTTGAAACCGCACAAATTTTATAGAAACAAATGTAAACCTAGAATTTCGTAGAGAGGGTAAATTTTGACAAGAAAATGTGGTATTAATATGTATAATGTTTACCTTTACAAGGTCTGTTTATTCTTACTCAAACACACTCATATACATGTACGTACTAGTATATGGTGCCCAGCCCCTCCAATGCTATCCTGCAACTTACTACATAATGTAACCCAACACCACAGACCCTAAGGTGTCTGTTATAGTTACCATGGTGACAGACGTCCGGTTTAGGTCATTGACCTTATCTGTTCTGTTTCCCTCAACACGACTACTTTGTAATTTAGACAAAAGAAGACCTACCTTGGACATGGGGATGAGGAAGTTGAGGTTGTAGAACAAGATGACCCTTGTCAAGAGAACAATGAACACCACATACGCCGCGTTCTCAAAATCTGTCAGCTGTATCTGTGAAACAAGAAAAAATATTTCAGATTTTTGGGAAGTATTTTGGGGGTTTGTGACCTTCAGGGTCACCCCATTTCCTGTGTCTGACTTTTTCACACGTATGATGTGTTCATAAAATCTGTTAACTGCACCTGTAGAAAAAGCAAAAAGATTTCAGACATCAGGAAAGTATTTTTTTTTTGGGGGGGGGGAGCCGTGATATGCTATGATTGCTATTTATTAATTGCCTTTTAGAAGTAGAGAGTGTTTAAAGGAGTTACATTTTTCTACATTTAGCTGCTATGGACGACACCAAAAGTTTTTCATTGACTTCAATTCAACTCAATTTCAACACTTTATTACTTTGTGAACTATGACTGTTTGGAGCATGTATAATATTAGAGTATGGCAGTCTACTGCAATACTAGTATACTAACCTCCATTGGCCTAAACTCTACACGCCAGCCGATAGTAGAGTTGGGAGGAGGCGGTTTGAATCTCAGCGGCTGCCAGTTTGTAGTCTGAATGGCCTGGAAAAAATATCAGAACATATCAGAATATTTCAAAATATTTCTTCATTTTCGAATAAAGAATATTATGATGATTTACTACAGCTAATGGATACGATAAGGTTGATTCAACTTACTACATTAAAGAATGACAAAAAAATTGACTTTTACTAGAATCCTGTTTTACTACCCTGAATCTCTTTGAGTCCCCCAAATTTTCGTGTCTCTGATGTCACGTTCCAAGAGTAGACGGGTCCATTCCGTGAACAAGGTCAGCCGAAAATTTGGGAGAAAGAGAGGGGGAGAGAGAGGGG